AAAACTAATTTAATTTTTTCATTTCTGTAATCGCTTGAAGCATTTAGAGCAAAATTTGTAATATATATTCTTTTAACATTTAATTTTGTACTTAAAAATTATAATTATTAATAATCTACATATTGATATTATTATACCTTTTATGATGCATAATTGTGTTGTTTTTTTTGTAAATGTATAATTGCAGGTAAAATGTTGTATGATCAATTATTCACAAATAATTTCCTGTCTTTAAAGTTTGGAGGCCTGTTCTAATTTAAAAATATTTAAGTTTCAATTTTTGTAGCAAAATCGAAACATTTGTTTTTGTAATATTTATGTTACAATATGCAATGTTGTTTGTATTTATAATATTAATTTCAAAAATATGACAAATGAATATTTGGCCATTTTTCTTAATATAGGTATTACCTTCAATGTTTACAAATAACATGTTTGCTGGTACAATATTCATCACGGAATAACGTGTCTTTTGAGTGATCTTATCTCTTTTAAAACATGGCAGCCCGATAAAAAAATTTTTATACATAATTATGCATAAACGGTTGTACACAATTTATAACCGTTCTAAATAAACTACGTATAAATTAGTTATGTAGAACCGTTTATGTATAATTATGTACAGAAATTTTTTTACCGAGCTGCTATATTTTAAAAGAGATAAGATCACTCGTAAGACACGTCATTCCGTGATGAATATTACCAGCCAACGTGTTGTTGATAGTCGTTGAAGATCATGAAATAATGATACATACATTCGTCATTTTAAAATTAATATTGCAATTACAAACAATATTGCATATTACAATATAAATATTGTAAAAGCAAATGTCTGGAAATTGTTATAGAAATTTAAACTTAAAAAGTTTAGAATAGAACAGTTTGAAGTTTAAAAACGAGAAATTACTTGTGAATAATTGGTCACATTTTACCATGCAATTTAGAAAACAAATAAAAAAACAGTTTGAAATTCTAGGACAATAACTTTGTTCAACATTTAAATGCTTTCTGAAATATATTATAATAAATATTCCAAAGATTTTTTGCGCTAAACATAATGTTGGCAGAATTTGTGGATTTCGTCAAGATTTTGTGTAAATGGGGATAAAATGAGCAAAAAATAATTTTTTTGTCATTTCTAACATTTCTTATAGTAAATAATATTAAGTGAAATAAGCTGATAAATGTTTCAACACAAATAACGGAGAAAAAAGTTATTTTCAATGAAAGTGGGTCTTCGTGTTCAATATTATTCATATATACAAGTGACTATACAAATACAATTTTTACAATAAAATAAAAAGTTGTTTTGAATTTATGTTTACGGAAACAATTATAATTTAATGAAAGTAAATGATACGGTTATATCCTAAAAATCTTTTAGAAACTCTTGAATTGTATTTTTATAATAAATCCGATAAACTTTATTTGGAAACAAGATTTTGTTTTGCTATAAAAAATATTAAAAACAGTAAAAAATGCTATTTTTTGTTCATTTTATCTCAATTTATCCAAAATCCTGATTACACAAATTTTACCAATGGCATTGGGTTCACCAAGAAAAAATTTTCGGGATATGTACACTGTACTTCGGAGAAAAAGAAAAGTGACCTTTTATCTGAAATACATATCGAACAGTGTAATAATCGTATGCAAACAACTGATACTGATAAACGATAGACGTGCAAGATAACAAACTCAATACGACGCACTATTTCTTTTTTTAAGCATTAAATAAATTTTTTAAACTAAAGAAAACTTTTCAAATCATTTCTTAATTAATTACAATTAAAATCGGGCATTAAAATTGATCTTTTCGCCATATAATTTTAAAATTGAATCCTTAATTACATCGATGTAAGTCCAATGTTATCTTTAATATTAAACATTGCATATCGATTCTGTAAAAGGAATTTTCAAATATTATTTAACAAGTTAACGCAAAGTAAACTTTTTCTATCTAGAAACTGTTTTCTCTTTCTAGGAAGAATTTAATTAAACAATGCATAGATTTACAAACAGAGAAGTAGTACGTTACTTGTAACGTTGTTACTTTTTTTGTTACATTTTTTGATAATGGTCGTTACTTTTTTCTGTAACTCTGTTGGTAAGGTTACATTTTTGCAGTAATAATAATGATTTAATTACTTCTATTGTTACTTTAATTTTTATTGAATGGATTGGATTGGATTATGTTTCAATTGTTTCAATTGCACTGAAAGATGTTTTGCTTCTGTATCTCTAGAAGTGTATTTTTAGCTATCCAAGTTGTGCCATTGTTATAACAAATGAATGAAATACTTAAAAATTTTTTTTATGCTTGTAAGTATACAAATATATATTTACAATTTAACATTGTATTATTATATATATAATAAAAGGTTATTAGTTGTAATAAATACAATTACAAAATGTTCACTTTCCCATTTTTATTTCTTAAAAAATATTATGTACTTTATGTTTTAAACTGCATTCCAATAATCATTATCAGTATTGAAAATCTGTAATTCACATTACTTATATACTACTTTTTAGTTACTGGAATGAATCTTAAAATATATTTTTAATTATGACATTAATGTTTAAAAACCGTATTTACTTTAAATTCTAATTGTTAATTGTTGAGTTTAGACGATTGTTTTTTGCCAGATTTGATCGTTGTGTAAAAACGCGTCGAATAAAATTAATTTTATTAATATCATATCATGAAGGAACTAAATTCAACAATTTCTCGAAAAGTAACGATTCTAAGTAATGGTAACGTTAATACGTTACTTTAAAAAATACATAAATAGTGATGGTAACAAGTTATTTTTTTAGCAAAATAACTCCTGTAACGATAACGTGTTATTTTTTTAAGGTAACGTTCCCAATTCTGTTCATTAGTTAATTCACATTATTACCTTCCGATAGAAAAGAAAACTGTAGGTGATATGTATCCTCATGTCAACATGTAACGATTGTATGAGTGGTATAACAATATAATGGCGATGACATTGACAATGATTAGGAAAATAATATAGATCATCACCTCGTTTATTGAGGTTTTATGCTTAGCTTTTTCATCATGTTTAATACTTGCACATTAATAATACAACGAAATCAACACTATTGTTAAGATTTATAGAATCGAAATACTGGGGCCTACTTGAATAACTATCGAATACTGAATTGACAAAAAAGCGTGCGATTATGTATCTCAGCGTTAGCGTATTAGATTTATCACCTCGAGAACTAGGCTTCAAATCCCGTCAATACGTATACAAAAAATATAAAATTGTATAAGCGATTGTAATTAATAAAATATATGTAAAACTTTGTTGTACATAGGTAAAAATATATTAACATTGTACTATAAAATACCGTTAAAAAATAATCTTTTAAATTAAGTTGTTTTTTAATGCAATGACATACAACTATATTTAATAGTGGGCTCTTTTTGAGGACTAAAAGTGAATTTGAATTTATTGACATTAGGAACCTACTTTAGGAGATGGAAAATGAATTACAGTTGTTCAATAATAATGAGCCAATATATAAGACTAAAAACGGAATACAGATAATAATAATATTATGTATAAGCTGCAAGTCTTATTTTCAATGCATAATATCTCATAACCATAGCCATCTATTCGTATACGTTTTTGATGTCAACAAGGACGCTTCTAGACTCTCAAAAGTAGAATGCTTCTACACGATTAGTGTACTTGATGTTATCTAGGTAAATATAATATGTTTGGAAAAAGTGCCCCTGATTCGCACACATTTAATATTTTTATTTTTTATAGTATCTATTACTACAAGATACAAATAATTATAAACGTAATTACTTGCAACATTATAACTTTATACGAGGGTGGTCCCAGAAGTACCCGACCTGACGTACAAATGACGGTTGTTGTATAAAAAAAATCACTGTAGGGAAAAGCACCAACTTTCTAAAGCTTAACTATGAAGTTTGAAGACGCTACGTTGTTCAGTATTTGTTTGGCAGCCATCAATAGTGGACGATCTCGGTGAATTTGCAAAGATGGAAAAAATTGGTCATCGTTATGTGATACAATACTTTCATTTGAAAGGTCTTAGCCCAACCAATATCAAAGCCGAGCTGGATTCTACTCTGGAGGAGTCTGCTCCTTCGTTTACAACAGTAAAATATTGGGTGGCAGAATTTAAACGAGGCCGTACGAGCTGCGAAGACGAACATCGCAGTGGTCGACCAAGTGAGGTGGCCATTCCAGAAATGGTGAAGAAAATCCACAAAATGGTATTGGGTGACCGTCGATTCAAAGTGCGCGAGCTAGCAGACATGGTAAACATTTAAAAAGTGCTGTACATCGCATATTGGCTGAAAATTTGGAGATGAGAAAGCTGTGCGCAAAATGGGTGCCGCGCTTGCTGACAATCAAATAAAAGCAGCGTCGAGAGGATGTTGAGTTAAAGTTCGAATTGCTTCCCCACGCACCCTATTCGCCAGATTTAGCCCCCTCGGATTATTTTCTCTTTTCAAACTTGAA